TTTAGCACACGAATTTGTTAAGAACAGAGTAGACTAAATACATGCAGACTATCTGTGACATTGGGAGTTGAGTCGGTGGCTCTCGTGGTGAAAGCAATGTCTCCATGCACTGTGGGGAAGGCAATGTCAGAAAAAGCAGTGAAGACAGACAACACGCTGCAGCCCAAAGGCGAGGAAATAGGATGAGCTTCATCCACAGTATAACAAGAGCATTTGTCTCAATTAAAATGCAGGAGAAGGAAATCACATATTCTGCAAGGACACATTGAGACAAAAATGCACTATTACACTTATCAGAATGCTTGTGCCCGGGGTGGTACAGTGGGAGTGGAGAATGAAGGGGAGGCAGAGCAGAGTAGGAAGAAAGAAAACAAAAGGAGCAGGGTCCAGGTCTAAAGTGCAGGGAGCCCAGCAGGGGACCCTAGGAGAGCCTGGACAGGGGGAGGGAGGGGAAAGGATCTAAAGGGCAAAGAAAATGGGGTGGGGAGAAATGAGAAGAAATGAGGGAAGGAAGAGAGGAAAAGGGAGAAGACAAAGTAGAAGAGAAAGGGGAAGAAAAGGAGGAGAAGCTGTGGCACTTCACTGTGGGATGTGGAGAGATTTCCCAACCATCTCCACCTGGGCTTTGAAACAAATAGACAAGTAGATCAGACATCTAAGGAAATAATGACGGAAATGGGTCCAGGGCAGAGCAAATGGTCACAAAATGTGTGTTTAACATATGTTCTAAAGCTCAAATGATATGTATTCTCTGATTCTTTCATGCGTGGGCATGAGAACATGGGCCCATTGCCTATAAAAATTGGTGACATCTAACTTCATCTTTATTTAAAGATGAAGCAACCTTTTCCATAAAGTAATTAATTGTTGGAGATGAAGCCTCCAAGCGACCTTTTCCATAAAATAATCAAGCTTTTGTTGGCAAAGCAAAAATAAACTCTCCTTATCTGGTTTTTGGAAAAACAATTAATTAAAGGAAACATACAAAAAGAAGGAACCTTCATATCACACATCCCTAATGTGTTCCGTCACCATGGCTACCTGTCACTCTGGTCCATTTTTGCATATCTCCTGTACACAATGATCTCTATAGATCTTTCTCTCATTCTACTGGGAGGAGCATACTTATTTTTATCATGTATTATGTTATCAAGATTCTTGAAATCTCAGAAAAAATGAAGGTAAAATATAATAAAGGCACCATTTCTTCTCTCATTAAGAACATTCTATATATCTTACTTCAAGTTATATACATATATATACACACAGATTGCAATTTCATATGGAGATTTTATCTATAAATTAATGTATTTCTTCAAAGTGGTCATTACGGAAAATGTCTACTAATTAAATACCATTGCCCAAATACCATACCATTACCCATATCATTTTTGAAAATTATCTTTTGGAATTGTACAAAAAGTTATTTTATGTAATAGATAAATACACATTTCCCATGTTAGTTAATCTCATCACATCTTCTTTTTAAAAATAAAAATATATACGTTATACTCCCCATTTCACAGAATAAGTGATATTCTCCTGTTTCTCCAAATTAAATTCATTCATAAATAATGTAAATTTCATACTATTCAAATGTTAAGATTGACCCACCGGCTCTCAAAACAAACAAGCAAACCAACAAAAGTTCGTAAAGTTCTACATCAGTATCCGAATGATTTCCTTCTATTCTTTCCAATTTGAATGGTTGAACTATGTTTATCAAAGAAAAAAGAGAGATAAGTATTCTCCTAAAAGCACACAGAATAGCCATGATTTGTAAAAATTTTTGACTACACTTTAGTTAATCTACAATTCTTTCTTTACTGAGTTACACCAGACATAATAATATTAATATGGTAACTTGTTGGCAGACAAAAGATTTTTTAGGAAAAGCACAAGACTATCTTTCAAAGAAGACCAGAGCCCTGGCTTTCCGTATTTTTCAAGTTTAAACAACACAGAGATGGTTAAGCTTGACTTTGTGTGAAATTCATTCCTTATATTACAGTAGAGAAATATGCAGAACTGAATGTTCTAACATAAACAAAGGAATTGGGGATGGTTTTATAATTCAGATTTCCGTGGGTCTGAAGGACTTGAATTTGTCTTCTGCCTTATTGCTCTTGATTATTTTTTAACCTTAAGTAAAGAAAGGCACCAGGAGATTCTTAAAGATCCTTTTCTTTGCCACCATCCCTAGGCAAGAAAGAGGAATTAGCCATGTAACCAGATCCTTCTAGGCTCTGCATTTAATTTTAAGCAAGAAACCGGAGACTAAAGATGTAAGACCGCCAGAGAACAGCAGAGGGCAGTATTGACTCGTGCCTGACCTGTCTCTGGGCCCAGAAAGTTTCAAGATTGGAAGGGTTCCTGTGGCAGAAAAAAATGTATGACATATGCCCTATATTTGCATTGTTTGGCTTAAATTCATATTTTTAAGTTGGTTCCCTTAAAGGGGAAAAATACTGACCTGATTTCTACTGATTCTTTTTCCTTTTGACAAATCAAGGCACGCCTTCACAAAAATCAGCTGTGGTAAATAGAAGGGAGTAGTCCGTGGCATATGGGCATTTTTAAAAATTAGGCTTCAATTTTATTGTATTTATTCCTATTTTCTCCTGTCTATTCCTCCTCCAGACCAAAACCAAAACGGAACTCTGTTGGATTTCCTTTGTCTACCAAATGTAACAGGGAAATATTCCATCAGGGATCAAAATTCCAAACTAACTTCTCAACAGGAAGGGATCTTCCTCATTCCAGAGGGCTGCTTTGTTATTGTCCAAACAGTAAGATGGGGCCACCGACACCTGGAATCAGTTGGGGAGCAGAACGATACATAACAAACGGTATTAAACGCTGAGTTCCCCTGACTCGTCCTACGGGAAATTAAAGGGCGGTTGGTACTAGGGCCCTTAGCCAGCTGGAAGGTGGGGGCCAGGCCGGCTGGGTGCGGGCTGAGGTTCAGCTCGCCCCGCACGGCAGACGCCCGCTGCTGCTCGAGGGGACGGGCTGGGCTGGGTTGGACTCCGTCGGATCCTGGCATTCACCGAGAAGGGGCAGGAAACGGTTAACGCAGATCGGCGCTGTGCATTCCCAGACAGGCTTTGCTTAATCCTTCCTCCCCGCTTTAGCAGACCCTCGCCCCCCGCCTTTCTTTTATTTCTCTCGACCCCCTTACCCTGAGTTATTACTAGCATAACAACCCAGCGGTCTCCCCCCAGACCCTGCCACTAAAGTTATTTATCTGCAAACCTGACCCCACCCCCATCTATTCCGCGGCAGCCTTTTGCTGTTAGTGCGCTGACGCCGGCCAAGATTTGACCAAAAGGGGGAAAAAAAAAAAAGAGAGAGAAAGGGGGGAAAAATTCAACCCCCTTCTTAGCGCCTCCGCCGGCCGGGCTCCCACCCCGGACCGCCCCCAGCCCCCGGGAGGCCGGAGTGATTAGCATCCCGAGGAGCCAGTCGGAGGGCGCGGGCGGAGGAGCGCGCCCGCGGTAGGAGTGCCAGGCGGGGCCGCCCGGCTCGGGCCCAATGGGGCTGCGGGAGGGAGGGGCGGTAGGTGACAGCCCCGGGAGCCAGCGGGAGTCCGGGCGAACTAAAGTGCGGGCAGCAATGAGTGGCGAGCAAAGTTTCTGAGTCCTGCTGCAGGTCGCGGTCTGCCCTCCCCCTCTGTGCTCCGGCGACGCGCTGTGTGTGTGTGTGTGTGTGTGTGTGCGCGTGTGTGCGCGCGCGTGTGTGTGTGAGAGCGTGCAGCGGGGAAGGGGCGGGGAGAGTGGGGGACCAGGCGGACGCGGAGAGGGACTCGCGGCGCTCCCGCTCCGCGGCGAGCAGCCTTCAGCCCGCAGGAGCGCAGCGCTGACAGGCGCGGGCCGAGCCGCCGAGCCGCCCACTTCCCGGTCTCCGCCGCCGACGGCCAAGGGGCCGAGAGGGGACCGGCCACCCCGCCCCGCACAAACGCCTGGTGGATTACAAAGTGAAACTGACACGGGACAATACAAGCCSAGATAACCGGGGCCGGGCGAGGCGCGCCGGAGGGGGCTTCTGGCCGCGGCCGCCGAGAGCGATGCCCCTGGCATGCTGAGGGGAGGGGACGCCGGGACCGCGCGCCGCTCCTGCCCGACCCCCGCGAGGCCGAGAAGAAAGGGGGACCTGCGCTCGGTTTGGATGTACAAATAATGGGGCGGCAGGCGCCGCGGCCGTGGTGAAGATGCCTTGGAGCCTGTGCCGGACCCCGGGCTCGAAGCCGCAGCAGGGGCCGCGGCGGCGGTGGCTGCACGAGGGCCAGGGACGGAGCTGAGCGCTCCCGGTGCCGGAGCCCCCGAGCCAGAGCCGAGACTGGAACGCAGTTCCCCCGCTGCCTGCGCGCGGACGCCGCCGCCCGGGCCTCCGCGGCCACTGCCGCCGCGCTGTCGGAGGGGCGTTGCAGCCTGGCTCTCCACAGTGGGACCGAGGAAAGTCCTCCTCCTCAGCATTGGGGAAAGGAATTCGATTCCCCGGTTCCCCACCGCTCCCTCCCCGGTGCGCAGCTGCGCTTTCCGAGGCCACCAAGGTGTTTGTTCTTCCCTCTTCGCTCTGGGTAAGTGCTAAAGTTTCAGAAGAGAATCGTTTGCCATGATTCCTCAGCAACCTTGAACACAGGCGGCCTCTTCCAGCTCACATCCGCCGGGGCGAAAGGGCTCAGGCTCCGGATTAATAAACCCAGTMAAGGGGCGAATGCAAGAGGTCTGAGAAACTTTTCTGGGACCTCTACTCCCCGGAGGGTCCCGCGGGATGCCCTGCCGCTTCTGGCCACAGCATCTCTCCTGCACTTCGCGTCCCCCTGGCTACCTGGAGCCTTTGGCAGATGGGGCTAACTTTTGCTGGACTGGGGTTGTTTTGAAATAGCAGAGGTCTCAGACCGCGCCGAATCTTGGCTGGCGCTTCTTCATCTCTGTAAATATTGTTCCCTTCCTTCACCCTTCCTTCTCTTCGGCACACCGTCCCAGGGATCCAGGACCATGGACTTGGCAGCAGACCAGACTCCTGGCCGCCGGTGGCTCCCTATGCACACTCTTTCAGTTTTTCGGCTCCTCCGAGTGTTTTGGCTGCTGTCCCTGCTCCCGGGGCCCGCCTGGGTCCGCGCGGCCGAGCAGCGCCAGGTGTTCCAAGTGCTGGAAGAGCAACCTCCGGGCACTCTGGTGGGCACCATCCAGACGCGCCCCGGCTTCACCTACCGGCTCAGCGAAAGCCACGCCTTGTTTGCCATAAACAGTAGCACCGGAGCCCTGTACACCACCGCCACCATCGACCGCGAGAGCCTGCCCAGCGACGTGATCAACCTGGTGGTCCTTTCCAGCGCGCCCACCTACCCTACTGAAGTGCGAGTGCTGGTGCGGGACCTCAACGACAACGCCCCGGTCTTCCCGGACCCCTCCATCGTGGTCACTTTCAAGGAAGACAGTAGCAGCGGACGTCAGGTCATCTTGGACACCGCCACTGACTCGGACATCGGCTCCAACGGTGTGGACCACCGCTCCTACCGCATCATCAAGGGCAACGAGGCCGGCCGCTTTCGCCTGGACATCACCTTGAACCCCAGCGGCGAGGGCGCGTTCCTGCATCTAGTGTCCAAGGGCGGACTGGACCGCGAGGTCACGCCACAGTACCAGCTCCTGGTCGAGGTGGAAGACAAGGGCGAGCCGAAGCGGCGGGGCTACCTTCAGGTAAATGTGACAGTGCAAGACATAAATGACAATCCCCCGGTTTTTGGCAGTTCCCACTACCAGGCGGGGGTGCCTGAGGATGCGGTTGTGGGCTCCACCGTCCTCCAGGTGGCGGCGGCGGACGCAGACGAGGGTACCAACGCTGACATCCGTTATCGACTACAGGACGAGGGGACCCCCTTCCAGATGGACCCAGAGACAGGGCTTATCACCGTGCGAGAGCCCCTGGACTTTGAGGCCCGGCGCCAGTACTCGCTTACAGTGCAGGCCATGGACCGAGGCGTGCCCTCCCTCACTGGGCGCGCTGAAGCGCTGATTCAGCTGTTGGATGTGAATGACAATGACCCGGTGGTGAAGTTCCGCTACTTCCCTGCCACCTCSCGCTACGCCTCGGTAGATGAGAACGCTCAGGTAGGCACGGTGGTGGCTCTGCTCACGGTGACTGATGCAGACTCCCCGGCGGCCAACGGGAACATCTCGGTGCAGATCCTTGGGGGCAATGAGCAGCGCCACTTTGAAGTGCAGAGAAGCAAAGTACCAAACCTGAGCCTAATCAAAGTGGCCAGCGCCCTGGACCGCGAGCGCATTCCTTCCTATAATCTCACCGTTTCGGTCTCTGATAACTATGGGGCGCCCCCTAGCGCAGAGGTGCAGGCGCGCTCTTCCGTGGCAAGCCTGGTGATTTTTGTCAATGACATCAATGATCATCCCCCTGTCTTCGCACAGCAAGTGTACAGAGTAAACCTGAGCGAGGAGGCGCCGCCAGGGAGCTATGTGTGTGGGGTGTCTGCCACTGATGGCGACTCTGGTCTCAATGCTAATCTGCGTTACAGCATCGTCTCTGGCAATGGACTAGGATGGTTCCGTATTAGTGAACACAGTGGCCTGGTGACCACTGGGGCTGCGGGGGGACTCGACCGCGAACTGGCTTCACAGATTGTACTGAACATCAGTGCCCGGGACCAGGGAGTTCACCCCAAGGTGTCCTATGCTCAGCTGGTAGTAAACCTCCTGGATGTGAATGATGAGAAGCCAGTATTTAGCCAGCCAGAAGGGTATGATGTGTCTGTGGTGGAGAATGCGCCGGCAGGCACAGAACTGCTGGTGCTGGGGGCGACTGATGGGGACCTAGGTGACAATGGGACAGTGCGCTTTTCACTACAAGAGGCTGAGAGTGACCAGAGGTCCTTCCGTCTGGATCCTGTATCTGGGAGATTGAGTACTATCTCTTCCTTGGACAGAGAGGAGCAAGCCTTCCACTCCCTGGTGGTCTTGGCCACAGATCTAGGTTCCCCTCCCCAGTCATCAATGGCTCGCATCAATGTGAGCCTCCTGGACCTGAACGACAACAGCCCAGTGTTCTATCCTGTCCAGTACTTCGCCCATATTCAGGAGAATGAGCCTGGGGGCAGCTATATCACCACAGTGTCTGCCACTGACCCAGACTTGGGTCCCAATGGAACTGTCAAATACAGCATATCTGCTGGGGACAGATCTCGATTTCAGATCAATGCTCAGAGTGGGGTCATTTCTACAAGAATGGCCCTAGATAGAGAAGAAAAGACAGCTTACCAGTTACAAATAGTGGCTACCGATGGTGGCAATTTGCAATCTCCCAGCCAGGCYATAGTGACCATCACAGTGTTGGACACTCAGGACAACCCACCTGTATTCAGCCAGGCTGCCTACAGCTTCRTTGTGTTTGAGAACGTGGCTGTGGGGTACCATGTGGGCAGTGTGTCTGCATCCACCATGGATCTCAATTCCAATATCAGCTATCTCATTACTACTGGGGATCAGAAAGGTATGTTTGCCATCAACCAGGTCACGGGGCAGCTGACCACAGCAAGCGTGATTGACAGAGAAGAGCAGTCTTTTTATCAGCTGAAGGTTGTAGCCAGTGGCGGCACAGTGACCGGAGACACCGTGGTGAATATCACAGTTAAGGATCTGAATGACAACTCTCCTCATTTCCTTCAGGCCGTAGAGAGCGTGAACGTGGTGGAGAATTGGCAGGCAGGTCATAGCATTTTCCAGGCCAAAGCTGTGGACCCCGACGAAGGTGTCAATGGCATGGTGACCTACAGCCTTAAGCAGAATGCCAAGAATCTGTTTGCTATCAATGAAAAGACTGGTGACATCMGTCTCCTCGGGCCCCTGGATGTTCACACTGGCTCCTACCAGATAGAGRTCTTGGCATCTGACATGGGGGTCCCACAGCTTTCCTCCAGTGTCATCTTGACGGTTTATGTCCATGATGTCAATGACCACCCACCAGTGTTTGACCAGCTCTCCTATGAGGTCACCCTTTCTGAGTCAGAACCTGTGAATTCTCGGTTTTTTCAAGTGCAGGCCTCTGACAAAGATTCAGGAGCAAATGGTGAGATTGCCTACASCATCGCTGAGGGAAACACAGGGGGGGCTTTTGGCATATTCCCAGATGGTCAGTTGTATATAAAAAGTGAACTGGACCGTGAACTTCAGGACAGGTATGTTTTACTGGTTGTTGCTTCTGACAGAGCAGTGGAACCCCTTAGTGCTACTGTGAATGTCACCGTGATTTTAGAAGATGTAAATGATAACAGACCTCTTTTTAACAGTACCAATTACACATTTTACTTTGAAGAGGAGCAGAAAGCTGGGTCATTTGTGGGCAAAGTGAGTGCTATGGATAAAGACTTTGGGCCAAATGGAGAAGTAAGGTATTCTTTTGAGATGGTGCAACCAGACTTTGATTTGCATGCCATCACGGGGGAAATTACAAATACCCGCCAGTTTGACAGGGAGTCTCTCATGAGGCGGAGAGGGACTGCGGTGTTTACTTTTACAGTCATAGCAACAGATCAAGGCCTCCCTCAGTCTCTCAAGGATCARGCCACGGTACATGTTTACATGAAGGATATCAATGATAATGCTCCCAAATTTTTGAAAGACTTTTATCAAGCTACAATATCAGAGACAGCAGCCAACCTGACACAGGTTTTAAGAGTGTCTGCCTCTGATGTTGAYGAAGGTAGTAATGGACTTATTCATTATTCTGTAATCAAAGGAAATGAAGAAAGACAGTTTGCCGTAGACAGTGCCTCTGGTCAGGTAACACTGATTGGCAAATTGGACTATGAAGCCACACCTGCCTATTCCCTCGTAATTCAAGCTGTGGATTCAGGGACAGTCTCCCTCAATTCAACCTGCACCCTACACATTGATGTTTTAGATGAAAATGACAATACTCCTTCTTTCCCTAAATCGACCCTGTTTGTTGATGTTTTGGAAAACATGAGAATTGGTGAACTTGTGTCTTCTGTTACTGCRACTGATTCTGATTCAGGTGACAATGCTGACTTACATTACAGCATCACTGGGACGAACAACCACGGGACTTTTAGCATCAGCCCGAACACTGGGAGTATATTTTTGGCCAAAAAATTGGACTTTGAGACACAGTCTTTGTATAAATTAAATATCACTGCGAAAGACCAAGGAAGGCCCCCCCGTTCATCCACAATGTCSGTGGTCATACACGTGAGGGACTTTAACGACAACCCTCCCAGCTTCCCTCCTGGAGACATCTTCAAGTCTATAGTTGAGAACGTTCCCATCGGTACGTCTGTCCTTTCAGTGACGGCACAGGACCCAGACGCAGACATCAATGGGCAGCTGTCCTATGCGATCATTCAGCAGATGCCAAGAGGCAGTCACTTCAGCATAGACGGGGTCAAAGGGACCATCTACACCAGCGCTGAAATAGACCGGGAATTTGCTAACCTCTTTGAGTTGACGGTAAAAGCCAATGACCAAGCTGTACCCATAGAAACCAGAAGGTACGCTTTGAAAAACGTGACCATCTTGGTGACAGACCTCAATGACAATGTCCCAATGTTCATCTCACAAAACGCCCTGGCTGCAGACCCCTCAGCTGTGATCGGTTCTGTCCTGACGACAATCCTGGCTGCTGACCCAGACGAAGGTGCCAATGGGGAGGTGGAATATGAGATCATCAACGGGGACACGGACACCTTCATTGTGGAYCGGTACAGCGGGGACTTGAGAGTGGCTTCAGCGCTGGTGCCCTCGCAGCTGATCTACAATCTCATAGTCTCAGCCACAGACCTGGGCCCCGAGCGGAGGAAATCGACCACTGAGTTGACCGTCATTCTTCAGGGCCTCGAGGGCCCCGTGTTTACTCAACCCAAGTACATCACTATTTTGAAGGAAGGAGAACCCATTGGCACCAATGTCATCTCCATAGAAGCAGCTAGTCCCAGGGGACCTGAAGCCCCCGTGGAGTACTACATTGTCTCAGTGCGTTGTGAAGAAAAAACTGTTGGACGTCTCTTCACCATTGGACGGCACACGGGCATGATTCAGACGGCCGCCATACTGGACCGGGAGCAAGGAGCCTGTCTTTACCTGGTGGATGTCTATGCCATAGAGAAATCCTCAGCGTTCCCCAGAACACAGAGAGCAGAGGTAATGCTTTTGCAACCATTTATTATTTGTTGATGTGCTTTTATGAAGGTCATCCTCTTTATAATTACTTTCTATAATCATTCACCTTAATGTTTTGTTGCTAATTTTATAAAGAGGAGCACACAAAAATGTTCTGTCATAAAGACTAACAAGGAGTGTCAGACAAGGTAGTGTGAATTCTGGTTACAAATGGCAAACGTGTTTTCACTTCATGGTTCTCTCCAGAGCAATCTCATAGTGAAGGCTAAGGAGAATCTTTAGTCATTTCAGAAGTAAATATAAAACCTATTTATCTAAGCTTAATCAATGAATGGCCTCAGGGCCTTTCAGTAGAAAGTCTGCTAAAGGACGGGYAGTTTCAGCATTAAGAACTCCCCCTTCCAAAATGAAGAGCTTTGGTAGCACCCGGAAGGACACCCTGGCTTTTTGAGGCGAGTGGCCCTGGACCACAGAGTGGCAGTTCATATTGGGATGGTATTCACTTTCGCGTCCTCAGCAAGGCTGGCCCTGGGTAGACAGTGAGTCATTTGCATGTGCTGGGTCAAGTTTGGGGAGACTCCTGCCTGGTCTGCCTTGGCACTGCAGGCACCGTCTTCTGACTGAGGGCAATCGTTCCCCTGTTGTCTAAAACTAAAGCAGGTAACATGTTGTGCAGGATCAGAACTTGGAGGCTGTCCATTGAGAYGGCACTGTGTGGTCAGTGCCATGGCGTGTGCTCTTCTGCCTGCTGTGTGATGTTTTAGAGCAGAAACCTAGAGGGTTCTGAGTKCGGCCTTCCCGGGGACACCTTGGGTGGCTGCCTCTTCCTGGGGGACACCTTGGGTCGCTGCCTCTGCTGCTCCGACGTGGTTCTCTGTTCAGCTTCTGGCACCGTTGTTCTGATGATAGCTGGAGTCCATACAGCTGCCCGCTGCAAGCTCTCCTTGGCCACCTTCTAAGTTCTTCCTCTCCCTTCTCACTCCCTTCCAAGACATCCCGGTGTCTGTCACTCGGCCAAAAACACAGAATATCAAATGTGGTTTGTGATACTTGGCTGCGGCCCAAGCACAACCTGCCAGCGACCGGAGGCCCCTGTGATTGTTTTCTTGCATTCCTCTCCTTTTGGGGGAGGTGGGGGATTTTCCTCATTTTAAATGCTCATTCATTATCATTATCTGTTTGAATTCCCTGTGACTATTTTTTTTTTTTTTTAAATCACAGCTAGCTGTATCTCAGCGTATTTATAGCTTGGAGGACAGCAGACCTAGAGAGATGATTCTTAATAGAGGTACAATTCTTTTACAGATGTAATTCTAATGGGGTTCAATTTTATCTTACATACATTGCCTTAAGAGGCTTTCCAGAKAAATTATCTTCTTTTATCTATTTATTTTAAAATATCTTAATTTAGGAGCTACCTGGTTTAGCTCGGGTCATGACAGCATGATTCACATGTAATTTTATTTTGATTTGTAGTTCTCTCTCTTCCAAACCCATCCCCTRCCTCTACCTTTCTTCTCTGTAATTATGTCTTAGACAGAGAGGTTTGATGAGTTTAATTCCAAATATTTATTAAAGGCAGACAATTAAGGAATTCCAGACATTGGATGAATTAGTTAATTTATAAAGCAAATTATATTATTAGGTGTGGGTGTGTAATTCAGTGCACTACATTTCACTTGAACAATGTGGAGAATAAGAATAAATTTTCATTGTTACAGGTTTATTGTGCCTTGTTATTTGCTCATTAGATAGGCAAAAATCAGCTAGCATAAATATATTAAATAATGCTGCCTATATTAATATATTAATAGACATAAAGTAGTATATTAAATAGGCACAAAGTCTAAAAATAATTATCAATAATTTTGTTAGTAAAAGGGAGTGATATGCCTGTTACATTTTTAACTTTAAGTAACATCAATAATGCTATCATTAATATTTACTGTTCTCTCTATATATTTAAAAATCTAAGGAGAATTCAGTATGATAATTTTTTAATAAAAAATAGTGTTTCAGGATATCTATCCTCTTTGCAYCAAAGTGCTGAAATTGCAAACCAAGTGTGAGTTCCCAAGCTCTGGCCACTCCTAAAATTGAAAGCAAATGTTTTTCTTCAAAGAATATTGAAAGTTGTAGTTGTAAGCTAAAATTTCATGTTATTATTGGTTGTTTCTTCCAAGTGTATGCAATAAAGCTCTTTCTTTCCTTCTGCTCAATGAAATCACTGTGATTCTGCAAAAAGAGGTCATAAATTACCTTTTGGTGTCAGAGGTGATATTTTAATTGTTTGTTTCCAAGTGAAAYGTTGTGGTTCAATGCATTTTTAAAAATGTGTTCCTCTACACTGATAGGGATCTGGGTTGCTTACTCAGGTTTCTGGCCAGAGTCCTGGCGGATCCCATTCCTCTGGCAAGCCGAGGCTCAGCAGGTAGACAGAGAAGCAGTTTATCTTGCATCTTCTCCTGGCTCTGCAGTTGGGGTGGGGGGGGGGCTGAGGACTGTGACTCTGAGACACTGCCCTCCAGGCTGTTGGACACTTGTGCACATCTCTTATGCCACCTGTCACATCTAGAGGTTTTGTGTAAATAAGAATGTCTACAAAGGGTGGCTTTTGGGTCACAGACACAGGATGTATTACCTTTTAATTCTGTCTCTTTATATCCTCAGAAGAGTGCACATCMTCTTGACTCTGTTAAAAAAGATCATRGAAACTTTGAGCCGTTTTTYTCTAGGTTCAACAAAGTATAGAGAAGTAGTGATCCAATAAACACTGATTTTTAAATGGGTGTCTTATGTAGAGCCACATGAAAGTCGGGGTCTTGGTTGGACCTCAGTATGATGAGGGCGTGGTCCTGTGGATCCTGGTCATTGGGAGGCTCCTACACTGCCTGGTGTGTAGGAGGTGCTCAGCGCACACCTGCTGGAAGATCTAAGAGCAGAAGGCAGTTCTCCTGCCTCAGGAGTAAATCCACAGAGGGAAGCTGGGACGATGGAGGGCGCTGGGAAACCTGGCCCTGCTCACGGAACTGACAGATCAGAGCCATCATCCCTGCTGCACAGATGAACTGAAGACTCTCAGAAAACCCCCAGAGGAAAGAGAGTTCCAGTGGGTGGTCTGATGYCGGGCCATTGTGTAGGTGGAAGGCGGTGGGGTCTGAGCCTCCAGGCGCTCAAAGGCTGCTGTTCCTCAGCTTTCTTCCCCAGCGTCCCTTTGAGTCCTAAAACGCGTCCTAAGGAGCAGCGCCTCTTACCTGTGGACACTACTCTTTTCTTTTTTGGTACCAGGAATTAAACCCATGGTGCCTAACCCCTGTGCCTCACCCCAACCCTTTTACTATTTTATTTAGAGACAGGATCTCGCTGAGTTGCTTAGGGCCTTGCTAAGTCACTGAGGCTGGCTTTGAGCTCATGATCCTTCTGCCTCAGCCTCCCAGCCACTGGGATCCCAGGGGTGCACCTCTAACCCATGTGACACTATTTTTAACATTACAACTGAGGACAATTTAAAAATACTTAGATACTTATTAATTTATTTAAAAATTACACTAGGAATATACCATTTTAGTTTTGTTTTAAAATGTAATCTTTTCCAATTTACAAAATTGAAAASTGTGTCATTATTTCACATTAAAAATCTATTTCTTCAGCATCTGGCTTAGTAGAATGATAAAGAATGTATCAGAAAAAAACTATTTAAATTTGTTTTGAGTTGACGGATAAAACTGCATGTTTAATCAGGTACAAGGTAATGTTTTAAAGTACCTCTACATTGTAAAATGGTTAAATGTAGCTAATTAGTTATTATGGCAAGAGCTTGAAATAACCACTTTGTTCACATGGATGAAGAATACATAATTAAAATCTTTAATTATGGTCCCCTGCTGTACAACAGGTTTCTTGACGTTGACTTCTCCTGACTGTAATGATATACCTTTTGGCCAACAACTGGACATCTTCCCATCCACCACCCCAAACTCCAGTAACCACCATTGTTCTTTTACTTCTATGAGATGAACATTTTTAGATTCCATAAATGAGTGAGATACCCACATGTGTTAGTGTTTCTGCATCTGGTTTATTTCACCCGATACAGCATCCTCAGGTCATTCATGGTGTCACAAATGGCAGGATTTCATTTTTTATGGATAAACAGTATCCCACTGTGTGTAGATACACCACACTTTCTGTGTYATTCATCCCCTGATGGACACTTAGGTGGATTTCATAATTTGGCTATTGTGATTAATGCTGCAACGAACACAGCAGTACAGACGTTTCATCAACATACTGACGTTATGGGGTTTGGATATCTACCTAAYGCTGGGATTGCAGGATCATATCATTGTTCTGTTTCTCCATAATGTTTTCATAGCGGCTCTACTAAGTTACATTCTCACTGCTATAGTTCGGCTCTTAAGTGTCCCCAAAGATCCACCTGTTAGAGGTTTGGTCCCTAGAGTGGCAGAATTGGGAGGTGGTGGAACCTAGAGGAGGCAGGGCTGAGTGGGAGGGGTTTAGGAAATTGAGGACTTGCCCTTTGCAGGAGATGGTGGGACCGGAACCCCTTCCTCTTCCTCGTCCCTCCCTGGCTTATCATGCCAGCAGCTTGGCTCTGCCAATGTTCCTGCCATAACGTGCTTCCTCATCACAGATCCGAAGAAAGGACACCAATTGGTCATGAATTGGAACCTCCAAAACTATAAGCCCAAACCAGCCCCCTGTCTTTCTAAGTTGATTATCTCAGGTGAGCTGTTCTAGCCATGGAAAGCTCACACCACTGACTGTGTTAGGGTCACTTTCCTCCRCATCCTAACCAGCACTTGCCTTGTCCTCTTGCTGGTGTTGACCGTACTGGAGTGAGGTGATATTTTGCTGCAGTTTTAATTTGCATTTCCTTGCTTACCATTGAAGTGAACATTTTTTAAGTRTATCTGTTGGCCATTTATGTCTTCTTTTGAGAAATATCTCTTCAGATCCTTTGTCCGGTTTTAAAGTCCAGTATTCCTTTTCTGCTGGTG